AATATGGGAGTGTAGATATGTTCTTGACATTGTTTTTACTTTTTTTGCTAAAAATCAGGTGGCTATAAATGTGTGGATTTATTTTTGAGCTCTCTATTCTTTTCCACTGATTGATATATCTATTTTTGTTCCAGTATCGTACTGATTTTGTTACTACCACTTTGAAGTATATTTTTGCAGTTAGAAAGTATGACACCACTACTTTTGTTCACTGTACTCATGTTTAGTATGAATTTCTTAAGAAGAACACTGTGCTTGCCAGCAAATTGACAAATTGTGAAAATTGTCAGCTTATGAAGAATTTAACTTAAAAATGTATTTTCTTCACTTGTTGATAAAAGAAATCAATGATTTTTTAATAAGTGTTAAATCACATATACACTTTTAGGTATAAATACTGTAAATGTACCTAAATTCATTGAAAGAAAAATGAGAATTTTTATTTGTGATAGTCTAAAGTGAAACATTCAACCCAGAAGATTTGATAATTTACAGTCTGGACCCTGAGAATAGCTCTTGTATAGGGATAGTCTACAGATTGTACTGAAGTATCTGGTTATTGGTTGACAAATTCACCATCAACTAGCTACAGATACAAGTAAATGGGATTTATTAAATAGAGTGAAAAATTAGGGAGATGTTCACTTACAGATATATAGGTAACCAGAAATATAGGTAACCATTAGATTAAACAATAACAATTAAACAATATGAAGTCAATGATGTTCACTGTTTTGGGCTGTTCACAAATTAAAATTTGATGGGTAATAATATGAAAACCTTTTTACTTGAAATTATTCAAAAATATTGAGTAAAAATACAATAAAGTACATGTCTTAGAAAGGAAATAAGGAAAATCCCAAGAAGCCATGGAGTAAGAAAAAGATAACAGCATATATAAGAAGCTGTTTTTCCATGGGTGTTTTCTGACATGGATCATTGAGAGGTTGATTTTCTACCTTCTCACATAGAAAGGGCCCAAGGCTCTGTCTGTGTGGAGTGTTAGATGGGACTACACAAATCCAGAACTAAATGTCCTTATCAAATCAAGGGTTCCTGGGCAGTGAAGGTGGTACTTCTTAGTATTTGTAACAAATTCTTGCTTTCATGAAGCTTTATGGTTTCTATTGGTAGCCACAGAGGTCACAGATATCTGTGGCTAAAAACTGACTTCTCTTTTATTGCCTTAGCATTGGAAGATATAAGCACAAGTGCTTCCTAGAACAAAGCACTCACAATTCAGACTGGGTGTATAGTTCTTGCTGAAAGAAGCTCACTGAAAGTTGATTCACCCCCCAAATGGAGCAAAAAACAATTCTGAATAAGAATCAGCAGAGACAACAATAGCAAAATTAAATGGAATTGTTAGGTAATTAAATTATAAGATATAAATGTGTGTATAAATAAATGTCTGAAATCATGCAGTATGGTATTGAAAACACAAGCAGAAAACACAGTGCTATCAAAAATAAAACAGAATTTGAAATAAACCAATGAGAATTTTGAGAAATAAAAGAAAATAGTCATGGGAAAATGTGATACAATAGTTAATGGCAGATTAGATATATCTTTTGAAAAGGAACAAACTGGAAACAAGAGGTGAATAAAATATTAAGAAAAAACTAGAGAGAATTAAAGAGATGCAATAAAATGAAAGTTGTCTTAGGACCATGAAAGAATGAAAAAGAGAGAACAACATATTGCTAATTGATGTGAAAGAAAATACAGAGAGTAGAAAAGAAAGAATATGAAATACATATTCCTTGAAAATTTTCTACAGTTCAGTAAAGTCTTCATTTCTTATACTCATAAGTCTCAATGAATATCAAACAGAAGGAATATAAAAGAAATCTGTATCTCAACACACTTTAATGGAATACAGAGTATTCCAGAAAAAGTTATTATTAAATATAATTACATATAAAACCATTTACTGAAAAAAGTAAAATACATATGAATATCAATATTGAAATAGATGGCAATGAAAAAGAATTAAAATACTGAACTATTCTAAGTAGAAACTTAAATTTGTTTATCAAGTCATTAATTAAATTTTATGTCCAGGTCAACATTTCTTAAGAAAACAATATCTGGTTGTGCACACATGCAAACATTCTTATCTCTGTTCATCCTTAGGGCTCGGCTTTACCAAATGCAGTCTGGAGACATGCAGGCTCCTCAGGGCCCTCAGCAGCCTGCCAGGAATATCAGACTGTCAGGGAATGTTCTTTTTTTCTCATGTTCGAGATCAAACCAAGGGCTGTGCACATGCTGGGCAAGTGCTCTCCCACTAAACTGCAGTCCCAGCCCTTTTTATTATTTTAAGACAGGATGTCACTAAGTTGCCCAGACTGGCCTCCAACTCAGATCCTCCCGCCAAACCTCCCAAGTGCTGAGGCTATAGCACCCAGGTTACAGGTGATTTTTTAAACTTCTATGGCATACCAAATAGATGGTATGGAACTGGATATAAATTTTGGATTCATTTTAATGTCAAAACACATTTACCGTTTGTATTGAGTGCTGTGGGCCAGCCCCCTCCCCCCCACACACCCCTGTTGCACTTGACAAGTCTCCACTTGACTCCTCCCATCCTGGAGATGTTGGCTCATCACTCACAACCCTTTTGCTCACAGAACCTCAGAGTTTTTCTCAACAAGCACTCCAGACGACCACTGCTCATGTATCCGAGCCAGCACACCAGTTGAAGTCTATTTGTCAGCTCTGTTCAACTAGCTAACTACTATTTGCTTTAATCTATACTTTGTCATTTCTTTGGTAAGTATTTCAAATACAAGTAATAGCCCTCAAAAAAAAAAAAAAAGAAAGAAAAGAAAACAATAGCTAAATTAAGTACATTCCAGAAAAATAAGTACCATGTAACATGACTGGAAATCAATCTTTACCCAAATATATAATAAATGTTATACTGTTAACTATTAATATACTATTAATGTTATATATTCAATGTTTTATATATTATATATTATACTCTGAGAAAAGAGAAATGGAGTTTCCAGAGAGGACTAAGATGCAAATGGAAAGTATGAACAAAGAAACAGAAAATCATGGCTCATGTAAACAAATGTTGTTTGAATAAACAATAACAATATTGAGTACCTTGATTCAGATTCTGAAGAATCTTAGAGGTCAACTCTCCATGTCAAGAATGCCAAATATTTTTGTGGTCATCTTTGATTTCTCATAAAGATCTAAGATAACATTAGTAAATATCATTCTTTGAGATCTAAAAGAAGCAGGTACTAGGACAAGCGTTTGGTGATGAATAGTTGGTTATGGTCTAATTCCAGGAACAATAACAGGAGCATGGCAAACTTAAATTGGGAAGATCAGGAGACAATAAAATTTATGCTGTCAATCCAGGCACCACTGTTGAAAGCTGTAAATTAATATTTATGAAGAACTGTGTGAAACAATACACAGAACACACACCTCGTATTTTTTTCCACCTGAAGTTTGAGCAAGTTAGAGTATTTATACACCAAATTCTGTTAGTCACTGCTTGAGAGTGCTGGGGCTAGGGACATTAATTCTGCTGAACTTTTGGCTGCCTGCCTTGAAAACAGGAAAGGAAGACTCCACTGGTCAAATTTGAAAGCCCTCCCTAAATATTGCAGAAGTGGATAGTTGGAAGCATTTTAAGCAGGCTTCAAAATGTCAAGGAATAGGACAAGTGGGAGGGGAAGGGGAAAGGAAAGAAAGGAAAAGAGAAAGTATGAGAAAAGGAAAAAAATGGAAACAAAGTCTTTGTAAATAGGGAAGGGTGGAGGGGGGTGAAGGGAGGGCAGGGGAATGCGGAAAAAATAAGAACCAAGATGTATCATGTACAGGTACAAGTTTCCAATGATGAATGTGACTGTAGTGTATACCTAAAATGTACCAATGAACTTAAATGGGAAAAAAGTCAAGCATGAGCAGATACAAGTGGAGTATTAAGAACACTACTGTACTAAGGAATGGTTTTTCTTTTTGTTTTGAAATCAGAGATCTTTCAAGCTTCTGCTGTGCACCTAATGGCTCACACCTTTTTCTTGAACTATAAACTATACTTTTCCTTCCAGTACATGACGACAAATTATTTTCTTTGATTTTCTGGATGACAAATAATAATACGATAATATTTTCCTTAAATAAGAGAAGATATGCATTTTTGCAAAGCATATCTCACTGCTACCACATGTTTAAATGAGAGGCTGAGAGGGAGCCCCATAATCCCTCCTAACATTTTCTGCAGTCATCCAGGACCCAACACCTAACCTCCAACATGAAGTCAAAACATGGGACTTGTACATGGTTGTTCTGATGGTCAGGTGACACCCAAACAAATCTGCAAATGTAGGAATTCCAACTGTAGTAATTTATGGAGTAGATTTATATCAACTTCAGAACTGGGAGGAAGCCACACATACTAGCTCATTGCCATTCTTTTTTTTTTTTTTTTGATACTGGGGATTGAACTCGGGTTCATAGCATTCATTTATTTTTTATGCTGAGTATGTGATAAGAAGTGAAGACATGTGCTGAAACTGGCTAAAGGTGGACTGTAGAGTCAACAATAAAAATCTAGACTTGAAATCTGGTCAGAACCCAATTTAGCATCACAATTAAAGATAAGCTATACAAAAGTAGAATTGTATGTTTCTTTCAAGAAACACTGTGTTTGATTTGGTTAAGAGAGCATCTTTTATTTACCTACTTTTAAGATACCCTTCATTGTCCAAGGATGAAATTCAAGAACATTTTCTTCTTTTTAAAAGTTCACTTCCAACATTTCCAAGATTAAATGTACCATCCCATGAGTCCATCATGTCAAGCGTTGAATGTGTGTATGTATGTTAGTCACAAATATTTCAGTAGCAATGTATAAAAACCCACTCAACTACAAAAAGGAAAAGGAAATAAATCATTTCATATAACTGCTAGAGGGAGGAAGGTTTCCCAAGTAGAAAATGTTATTTAGACACCACAGGGTTTGGGGGTTGAACATCATGAGGTTATGCCTCTAATTACTGATTATTTCTGCTCTCTTTCCTCACAGCTAGCTTCCTTCTCAGGCTTTGTCTTTCCATGGTACATCAAAGAAGTCAGGACAGCATTCAGTGGTAGCTTCAGGCTTCCATTATTCTTACACCAGTTCTCCCAAAGCAAACAGAACTCTTCTTCCCAACTCTTCAGACAGAACTCAAGGGAGGGCTCTGTTGTGTTGGTTTGTCTGCACTTCTTAGCCATCAACTTAGCCAGAAAGATGGGGCTCCTGACAGCTAATGAATGGCTCACTCACTTCCCTTGTGTTGGTGGCCAAAGGATTCCCCAAGAAGAAGAAGTATTCTGTTAACAGAACAAGGGCAAAAGGAATATTTAATGAAAGTCAGAAATTTTATTTTGCTTAGAAATACAAGTTAATGTGAATCTAAATATTTGAAACTGGAATTTAGGACTAGTACAGATGGACATGTCTTCAACAGAGTTTTGTATGAGAAAAAAAAAACTAGCATACTCAAAAGTTTCACCAGAATATATCTTTGTGCCCTTAGCTGGGAGATTCTCATTCCATTAAATTTTGTATATAATCAAATTCTATGATTTCTCCAGCAGTTAATTTAAACAGAAATGTTTATCGTTATTATGACATCTATAGGTAGTTTCTGTAATACACATTATTGACTACATTTTTCAAAGCCACTTTTACACTTTAAAGCTGAGTACAAAGATGCCTCTGACAACAATGGAAATAAAATCCTTTTATAGCAATCTCATGTGGTCACACTTATTGTTTTGCTGTAATGGGATTCTGTTAATATCAATGTATTTCTGTAAATCTCCTTCTCAGTTCACATGATCAAGGGGAAATAGAAGTGTGGTCCCCCAGTAGTTAATTAGCACATATAAAATTGCATTGGAGAACAGAAGGAGAGAAAGAGATGTGCCATTTTCTTATCATTTCAATTCCTTTGAGTTCTGCAAATTTGATGAGTATTACACACACAACCAGATTAACTTCAATTTATACATCTCTGCTTTTTATATTTCTGTACATCAATTAAAACACTATTTTACACATCTATGCATGTCTATTGCAGTGCACTGCTAATAAACATATGTGTCTGTAACACACATTTCCAATGTGTGTGTTGAAGGTTATCACATATTCTCAGTCCAGAAGAGCTGGTACAGCAGCCCAGCTGTATCCTTCCCGGTAGTGAACATTATCGTACTGTGCTGAAAATGCCTTCACCCAAAGAGCATTCTATTGCACACTAAGAAGAGAAAATTCTGGGACACATTATTTTTTCACTGCAGCTTTGTGTCATTGTTTAGCCTCAAAGATATCCACAACCCAAAATAGGACTACATAAAGAAATAAAATTTACAAATTCCTAGTACAAATCTGTCCAAAGTTGCAAAAGGAAGTTTTGATTGAGAATTAACATAATATAAAGAGATAGTGAAGTCTAACTGAGTATATCATGCATTTGGTCAATTTGTGATTGGTGAAAATCAACTGGCCTTATGGAGGGAATCAAATGTCATTATAGATTGGTGAGTAGAGTAACAATTATTTGGATAGTAAATTGAAGAAGTTCCCGAGGTACTCTGTGATTTCAAAGTATTTGAAGGAAACAAGAGATTTCTAATGTCTGAAACAGACCACCATAAAAAAATCAGTGATGTAGAAAATCATCAGAAAGCTTGAGGAAAGCATCCTCCTGGTCTATCAGCCCAAATTGTAACTAAAAACAATAGGTTTACCTTTTGGTGAGTGCAACCAGAAGATAAAAGATTGAATAAAGCTTTATTACTTGGCCAAGTAAGGAGAGCACTGGGGATAACTCCTGAAGATGTATGTGTCCCCAAACAGAGAGTTATTTGGAGGGGAACTTACATATTCATATAGAAAAGACTCCTTGTCACATGTAGAGATAGGCACATATCTAAGGATCCTCCGTTGGAGATCATGCTTCTTTATAGATTGTGTGCTCAATACATGGTGTTTGGGAACACCTGCTGGGTAGAGAATTTAGTATTATAATGAGCACAGTTTAATCTAAGGCACCTGGATGATGAGTGACCATGATCCAGTGATTTTGGCTGCTGCCCTGTGGGTTTCTCTGATGGGTTTTATCTGAAACAAAAGTACAACTTGAATGAATGTTAGTAGTCATTTAGAGGAGCAGCTGCTCTTCCCCCCACAAGCATTGATTCCGTCCCTAAAATTATCTGCCCAGCAGCTAACAAAATCAGCATGTTCCTATTTATTTAAATATATTTTCTTTGAGTGTTTACAGTTTCACAAATGAAAAAAAAAAGTTGAGAACAATTACTGCTGTATGCCAGAATATATCTAAATTCACAGTTGCTTCTCTTGCTTAAAATTAAACAAGTATGAAAAATTATTTCTTAATAATAATGACTTAAAGTTTAAGTATATAGCATATATTTTCCATATTAAATGATTTATTTAATGTCTTGTGCCCTTACAAGTGTATAAATAATTTTTGCGAACCACTTGGTCTTTTCAAGATATTAAAGCAAAGTTTTAAAATTTTTTTTTACAGAAATGCATTTGTGTAAGCATTGTTATAAAAATGACCCTTTGCCTAACTTTTCTTTTCTTTTCAAAATATATACTTTACAGAAACTCTCCTGAAAGCAAACTAAACCCTAAATGACTTTTTTATAGTAGTATTAACTATAGTCACTTTCTGTCTTGATTTAATGCAAAATTCAGAAAAGTTTTGGTGGCAGCAAAAGAGGAAAAAAATACAACCAGTAACCTTTAGTTGGTATTCTTTTTACTCTTTCCACTTTTTATAAAAAGAAAGTGTCACTTTAATCATAACTTTTTTATTTATACTTAATCAAAGATAACTGAAATTTCTAATTATTATTTATCTTAATAATTAGTGAAATTATATTGGAAGAGTTTCTATATGGACAGACTGTTCTACACCTGTCCAATATAATTACTAATGAAGAAAGCCCACAATGAATGGTACTTCACAAGATTTTGAAGTTAACATTCACACCAGGGGGAGGCTGTGGATCATTGCAGTAACTAATGATGACCCCAGATCAAAAAGAGAGCATTATGGAGCCCCAGCTTTCAAGGTAGCATAATAAGTATGAAATGTCAAATGAAATCTTCCAGAAATGAAATTTAAACTACTATAATGGCCCATCAAATTGTCAAGCTAGTTCTCAAAGTGATACATATGTAAGATTGATGATTTCAAAAGCTCTAGGAAAGTGAAGTATTCCAGAAAGATAGCCAAAAGCAAATTCTTGAGTCCAATTAGGAAAAGTAAACTTGACCAAAGCTGTCACGGACAGTAGCTGACCTCATGCCAGGCCAAGGATACCCAAAATAGCCAACCTTATTGGAAGAAACAAAGGACAAAGATGGACAAGCAAAGTTCACGTCACTCCTAAACACAGGGTTCATCAAGCTACTACCATCTTCCTGTTATCCAGCACATGCTCACTTTGAAGCTTGACATTCTTAGCATCTAGAGTGGGGTTCACTACTGTTGAATGTATAAAAATACAGATACAGATTTATTATCTCTCACAAAATGACACATCATACAAGTACGCAAAGCCACAGTGATAGCAAATCTCTGATTCTGTAAAATTAATTAGGATAATTCTGATCAGAACAATTCTTTTTCTGTAACAGTTTGTTGGAATTAACAATAATAAGACTTAAAAAAAAACTAACGTGTGTCTCCAACTCTACTGAAAGCATTAAAAATAGAGCTGTGAAATATTCTTGAAGCCTGCGAGTTGAGCACTCACTGCCTCACTTCTGAGAGAGAGAAGGCAAAAGACAAGCTTTGGGAAGATATCTAATTAAAGTCAGAAAGAACATTAAAATAGAAAAATTAGCTCAGTGAAAAATCTCTTTTCATTTCCACTAAATCAGAAACAATTTAAAGACTGAAATGGGAACTAGACGAAAAAAGAAAAAACGCCTTTAATTTCTCTTGATTTTTCCATTGTATTTTTGGAATTTGGACTCTGGTACACTATTACATTTATTTCCTTCAATTATCTGTTTATTTGTTCTGTCACTCATGCAGGCCTTCATTTATTGATCGATAGAGTCTTTCCTCCATTTATTTATTCAACAGCATTTGCTACTTGTTATGTCCTGGGTATACATGGAAAATGCAAAAGTGTACCTTGTTTAATGTCTGCCTTTGAGGTACTTAAAGTGACCAACTAGTGTGGAAGTCATATATATAAGAAAATATGGTGAAATTTAACATGTTAAGTATGAGTCCAGAAGTATTTAAATTTGCCTGTGGTAGTCAGGTAGACACAGTGAAGGAGGCTTTCAGAGGTATATTATTTGAGCTATTTCTCATGGTTTGAAATTTACCAGAGAAGTTATGAAATCCATGCTTAAAAGCAAGAATATTTCAAGGAAGATTGACATTTGAAGATAATTAGAAATGACAAATTTGAGGCTAATTTTCTGTTATGTTTCACATAATCGCATATTTCACACATTATGAAGTCAGATTTATATGTAGTGAGTAAGTAGGATAGTAAAAGGAATAACAATTCTTAGGGAAAGGGTAATTTTATTTAATATTATGTCAATGTTGACCACAGGGCCAAAACATGAGTGAGGTAAGTTACTAAAAGGGCCTGAAACTTCCTTCCACAGTTATTTCATAATTACTAAGCAGGATGTACTCTATAAGAGGGTGATAGTCTGTCACTTATTAACAACAACCAGGACAAGTTTATTTCTTCTAAGTATGTTCAGCATATTCACTTCTGGTATGGACCTTGGGTGGAAATCCTGAAAGGAAAATTTTCTTAAAGCAGATAAAAGTTGGCAATGAACAGTGTATGTCACTACATGGTACTAATGGGGATGGAATGAAATTGAGAGCATACAAGAAATGTTTCTGCTAGATATAGAAAAATTATCTAAAAATTTAAGGCATTATGTAGATGTTAATATATTCTTGACCATTATTCTTCAGATTTAATATGAAGAAGACGCTCCCTAACTTTTGCTTCTCACCATTCTCCTCTCAGCTTCTGTAAAATCATCTTTGCCAGATTCCATATAGAAATCACATATTATTTTTCTGGTTAATTGATTACATTATTGTATATTAGTGTTGTAGTAATATCCATTAGAGGCTTATTTCAATCAATGAAATTATTTTATATCTAAGCTACTCTACTATTAAAATATTACTTGTTCTTCATTTAAAACATTGAAGCAAAATATATATGAGAGTATTTCTTTGTCAGAGACGTGTTTCATATTTGTGTCTCTTACTCTACAAATGCATCCTTCCATGGCACTGACTCAGTTTTCATTAATGGGAAATGGATTGATTTACACTAGTGTGACAGGAGATACCTAAATTTTTAAGGAAAAGGTTTACTGAATATGATGATCTCAGCATGGATTTTCCCCAAAGCAGGGACTGAAGCAAAATAAATGTCTTTTGCAGAATTGTATTTATAAATGTCACCCTGAGAAGCAGAAGTGAGGAAGTGAGAGAGGATAGAACCAGGAAGGAAGAAAAGTGAGAAGCAGATGGGTTGTGAAGCTGTGCACACCGAGCCCTTGGCACCTGGGGAGAAGCTTCATGAAATGAGCCTCAGGACTTTCAACTCGGTGCCAAAAAGGTGAAATTTGTTGATCTTCATCATTCATTGACCAATGATAGTGCTCTTCCTTTCCGCATAGGGCATAGATGCGAGAGCGAAGTAGGTTCCCAGTACCTCCACCCCATAGCACAGAGGAGCCTGGGAGGAAGAGTGATGCAGGCGATGCAGGCCCCAGTGCAGGCTCACAGCACCTGGGTGGAGCTGGGGGAGCCTATGCAGCACGGAGAGTGACAATGGCACTGGTAACTGCGACAAGGAGGAGGCCAAAGTGGTTTTGAAGTAAGAGACAAGAAATACCTGATTTAAATGCCAAGTGCTCTATAACACAGAAGGAAAATCATTGACAAAAATGAAATAAATAAATTTATAAATGCTAAAGAGTTTCTTTTAATGAAAAATATCAAATATATATGGCCAAGCTCAAATTTTTACCATAGCCCCTCATTTCCAATGAATTCCTGGGGCTACTTTCCTCTCCTATCTTTTCAGCAGGTAGGAAGCCAGAATTAATTAATATATACCAATATATCTCACACATTTGGTATTAAGACACTTTTATTCACTTTGAAATAATTTAAAATCCCAAAGTACTTTTATTACTATAAATTACACATATTTTTATCACATTAAGGATTACAATTTTTGAAATAGTTTCAATAAATTTAAAAATTTAAATTTAACATGGAAACAAAAACGATTTCATAAAAAATAATATTTCCCAAACAAAAGCGAGGAGAGTCACATTGTTCTACAATCTCTTTACAGACCTCTTTAATGTCTGGATTTCTGGACAGCAGCTATTTTCTATATCTGCTGTTCATTCAATCAGCTGAGATGTCACACATCATATATCTTTTACAAAACTCCACCATATACACGTGAATGAATGAGATTAAAAAAGACAAATGATATCTTAATATTATTATGAAAATTTTTTTCTTTGCAGAGACCCTGGGAAAATCTCAGAGACTCCCAGTGGTTTCTGAGAACTACTGATTTCTGTATATACATACAGTCCTGTCTACTATCCAATTTGATTTCCTGTGATTTTAAAAGTCTTATTCTCCCACCAAAGTGAACATTTCATCACCAAGTCCCAAATACAGCCTCTAGGCTTTCTGTATCCAAGGTACTGCATCCTATATACATTCTTCCCTCACACTATTGGTGGGTGTCTGAATCCTTTCAATTCATGAAAGGAAACTTCCTATAATCCTCTTACTTCTATTTAGTGAATGTAATTTTCTTCTGTATTAATAAATATTGATTCTTATTTTACTCCTCTCATGACTTCAAAGCCTCCATACTTTGTAGATTATTCTTGTGCATGTAGATTGGTCAATAAACATGCATTAAAATAGGCTGTTGATTTTTACTCTGCCATTTGTTGGTTTTACAGTTCATAACATAGGAACCAACAAATCTTATCATTTTCTCACTTAGGGCCTTTCAATATTGATCAGTTTATTATTATAGATAGAA